TATGTTATCACCTTTAGCCCTCTCATTTTACAGAAAAGGAAATCGAGGCCTGAGATAGTTCAAGGACTTCACCTAGAGTCTCCAGCTAGTAAGTGACAGAACCAGGGCTCCAACTAGGTTCTCTGGATGCATCTAACTACTTTAGCCACGCTCCATGCTCCTCTTCTGCCCTAATATCCCTCTTCTCTACTTAGCTGACCTCGTTGGTATCTTTAGGGCCCAGATCAGGTTCCTCCTCCTCCAAGAAGCCTTCCCTGACCAGCCCAGGGCAACGTGATTTCTCATTCCTGGCACTGACTGTATCAGTCACTAGATAGCTGATCGCATAGGACCTTTTGGACTTCTGCCTTTTTACTGAACTTTCACTCCTCTCTTACACAAGACTCATTTAACTTCTGCTGTATTTCTGCCTCACTCCCCAGCTAGACTGTAAGTTGCTTGAGGGCAGGGACCATGTCCTCTTCCTCTTTGTATCTGGGACTGGCCAATTAGGATCTTATAGGGAGTAGTTCTAGTAACATCAGGAGTAGGGCAGCATGGGCAGGAATGTAGCCAGGGATATGGTCTACCTAACCCCCATCTAGCTAGCCTTAGAAACAGTAATGCCAGCCCTACGCTATAGAGAACTTAACTGATCTTTCTAACTTGTAATGTTTTAACCCAAGTAGGGCTGCTGCTGTGCTAGAAGGCCATGGACAAAGCGCATCTCTTCCCTGTGCCTTAACTTCTTCCGCCAGAAAATGGGGATAGATAATAGATTTCCCTCATACAGTTTCTTCTCTGGACTGTTCTGAGACTGAGAAGGTTGGGGGATGGGGGGACGCATTATGGGTCTGTTTTTGAGCAATAGAATGCATAACCCAGTCTGGTTGAATTGGACCTTGATTCATTAGGGTTCCTTCCATAACTCTTTAGAGTTCAGAGAGGAAAACAAGGAAAATAGATAAGAGGCCACCTATTACAGTGGAAGAACGATGGCCCCCTGTGCCATTTACTATGAGTGTGACCTTGGCGAGGTATTTTCGGTTTTCTGGCACTGTTTCCTCATCTGTTAAATAAAGAAGTTGGACTCCCACACTATGCCAGTTACTTGGGACAAGTTAAAATAACTAAATTTGTTGACATACAATAAACTCTGAAATCTTTTATACCTTTAAAAAAAAAACTTTTAAATATGCAACATGTCCTCTTTTTGCTCCAGTCACTTGTTTTACACAATTTTCTACTGAGGTCACAAGAATGTGCCCCATGGTCTTTCAGTTTTTCCTCACGAAAACCATCCTTCTATCACACTGGATAGAAAGCTTACCTTTGCAAGCAATTCATTTTTTCAAGTCTAGCCCTGATTATATAGCTTCTAAGTTTTCAGTGGGGTTTAAATGAGGTGAGCTCCAAAGTTACAAAAGCATTTCCATCTCTTAGATACATTTCGAACCTTTCATGTGTGTGTGGCATGGTATGAGGGCATGTTGCAGTATTCCATCTCCATTTGGGAATATCTGCAACTTCAGAACAATTCTATTTTTCATTGTGTTAATATATTTGTCAAAGTTCATCATTACTTCAATGAGGACAAGACTTTCAGTGCCTTGGAAGCTAAAAACAAAAACAACAAACATTTTTAAATGAGTGTTTTATAGTCTTATGAAGATCCCTAGATCTTATAGGCCTAGGTGGACTTCTTCTAACAATGGTATGGGGAATGAAAAAGTGAGTTTCATCAGTAAAAATTATTTTTCCACTCTTCAGTACTCCAGTATTTGTATTGTCTTGCCATGACAAGTGATTTTTTTTTCTTTTTAGTAATGTTTAGGCAGCTTTTTTTTTTTAAACTAGTCTTCCAAATAAACTTCCAACTCCAAGAAGACTATATACTACATTGTAGACGAATAAATCTCAACCCCTCCAGCTTCTAGGTCACTCTGAAGGGCTTGGCTTGTTTTCTCAGGTTTAGCTTTCTTAGGCTGTGTAGCAGCCATAGTTTGTTGGTTCTTGTTGGTGTTTTCGTTTTTTACTGAACTTTTCAGTTAGGTGTGATTGATCCTCTTTCATCTTGAGCTTGAATGACCCTTTAAATGCTCCCACTAATAGCTTGGGCAATATCTTTAATGGCGATTGAAATGTGCTCTTTTTTTTTTTTAAAGTTACAACTCTGGCATGCTTCTTTGTAGTCATTTCCATTCCTAAAAACCACAAAATTAAACAAACTACAAAAGAGAGCAGTGGAACACATTTGTATGACACGAAATCCAGCACCAGACTAACAGAAATTTAACCAAACGTTGGGAAACCAGCACAGTCCAGTTTCATCTAGTCAAGGCCAGATGTTCCAGCCAACCTAGTGTTAGTAGAAAGACACGCCTCATCATTGCAGTCTAAAAATGAAGTAAAATATGTTTCATAGGAATGTATATGTAAAGCCTATATCAGATTGTGCGCCATCTTGGGGAGGGAAGTGGGGAGGGAGGAGGAGAAAAATTTTAAACTCAAAAGCTTATGGAAGTGATTGTTGATAAATCAAAATAAATAAATTAATAAAAACATTTTTAAAAATTAAAATGAAGTCATATCAACACTATTGCTTGTTCTATATAATCACACTCCTCTGTAAATGACCTACCTCTAAGGTTTCTTTCGGTTTTCAATCCTGTGGGGGATGCAAGAAATTATTGGGTAGGGATTGGATCTATGGCTTTATTCTCAGAGGGAACTCCTGAAAGCAAAAGCTCCCTCTATCAATGCAGGTCAACACCAGCTCTGACATTTCCAGTCCCAGAGTGGCCTAGAGCAGGGAGAGGTCATGTGACTTTCCTAGAGTTACCTGGTCAATATGTTTCCGTGGTGAGACTTGAACCCAGGTCTTTCCAATTCCAAGGCCAGCTCTCTAGCCACTGTTTGTTTGTTTGTTTTCTGGAGCATACAAAGAAGTCTAAAATATAACCCTTTATCCTCGAACTGTTTGGAACCTAGCTAAGAAGACAAGATACATGAACACAAAAAATTAAATGCCAGTATAAATACATACCACAATGCGATTGAATGAATGATGTAGATAGTTCTTAATTTTGGAGTCCCAAGGAGGGAGAGGGTAGAGAAAGATGACTTTATTGAGTTTCACGCATTGGATGGTGTTAGACTCTGAAGAGACAACAGAGACAGCTAGTTAGTGCAGTAGACAGAATGCTGGGCCTGGAGTCGGGAAGATTCATCTTCCTGAGTTCAAATCTGGCCTCAGACACTTACTAGCTGTGTGACCCTGGGCAAGTCACTTAGCCCTATTTGCCTCAGTTTCCTCATCTATAAAATGAGCTGGAGAAGGAAATGGCAAACCACTCCAGTATCTCTGCCAAGAAAACCCCAAATGGGGTCATGAAGAGTCAGACACAACTGAAAAGTGACTCATCAACAACAGCATCCTTGAGTCACAGGGTTTCCAGCTTCTGATCAGTCACTGACTGCCAACCATCTTCAAACTATAAAGAAACAGCCCCAGTCATTGGCTTATAGATCAGAAACAGAAAGATGCTTTAGGAATCAGTCAAGCACAACATTCTTAGAGCCCGGGGTAATGGCGGCAACCGATCAATCAGCAAGCATATATGAAGTGCCCAATGTATGCTAGGCAGTTGGCGGGGAGGGAATATGAGAAAAGACAAAAGGGAAACAGTGAGTGTGCGTCCTGGTTTGAATGATGGAGGGTGGTGTGAGTGGGAGGAAGAGCTGTGAGCCAGTGCATGTACTTTTATTGAAACTGTCTAGGGGCAGCATCCCTGAGAAATTTGAAAGTATCCTTTGGAAATGCTTAGCAATTGCTGGATGCCTTCTGCTGAGAATTCTTAGGACAATTGGGAGGGGGTGAAGATGGTGAGACAGAGGTGTCTCCCCATCGATTCCCAGAGGGCACCGTGTTAGCATCTGGGGACAGCATGGAGAAGCCATCCCTGACGTTATCTCTGGCATATGCCCGAGCTCCCAGTCGTCTCCACCGGGAAAAGAGAACGCCCAGGATAAGGCCCGGTGTTCAGTGTGTGACGGAGAGTACTGAGTATTTGAGTGGGAGAGCTGGGATTTCAGTGGGCAAAGAGCATTTTTTAAAGTGAAGGAAAGGCTCAAAGGTATCATAGGATTTAGCATCTTAGGGCCAGAAGAGATGTAAGAACAAAGAGGGTTAGGGCTGGAAGGATCCTTGGAGATAATCCAGTCCAAGCCCCAGGTTTTATAAAGGAGGGAGGCTGAGGCCCAGAGAAAAGAAACAGCTTAGCCAAAGTCAGTGAACTAGTTACGGTAGATGAAAGATCCCCCAGTCTAGGGCTGTTTCCGTCATACCATGAAGCCCAGGATACAGCGAGGAGGCGGAAAAGGGGAATGAAACATTCCCCTATGTTACCTGGTCTCCAGAATCATTCGATTCAGTGTTTTTTCTCTCGGGTACCAGGCCCCCTTGCTAGATGGGAGGGTCGTGTTACCATAACCGGGCCAGGGCTAAACAAAGGAGGCATTCAGTGGGGGCAGACCGGCCCACTTGCCAGGTTTCTCCGTGCTATATTGTTTTCATCACTCTCTTTCACTACGGAGGAGGATGGCCATCCAGCCCGGTACATATTTGGTGGGGCAGGGTCTGAGGGCTCAGAGAAAGGGGTGTGTTCTGTGGGCCTGGGGATTCTTGGGAGTAGGAATGTTGACTTGTGGCCAAAAGACAAAGAGGCCACTGGGAGCCCTGGGTCACATTCCAGTTCTAGTTGGGCTTGGGCAGTCCCTGCCCACGGGCCTGGCTCCCTCCTACAGACCTGGGGCCCTCGTTCTCCATTCCACGCATTTGGTATTTACTCTACGAGGCCTCGTGGCTCTTTGTGTTTGCGTCTTTCGAGGTTATTTAACCCTTGGACTGTTATTGGATTTGTCAGGCCCTCGTCACACCAGCAGTTTAGAACCTCATCCAGTTCCTTCACTTCACAGATGAGGGAATTGAGGCCCAGAGTGGTTAACCGATTTGCCCAACATCACACAGCTCATCAATAGAAGAGCTAGGATTTGAACTTGGGTCTTCCAACTCCAAATCAAGGCTTTTTCCATGGCACCACTTGAAGCTGGGTGAGCCCTGAAAAATTTTCAGCAAGCTAAAGAGATCAGTACGTATACAACTCAATGATTGATTTGTGATGGGGATGGGCTTGTTTAATCGTTTTTCAGTCATGTCTGACTCTTGATAACCTCATTTGGGGTTTTCTTGGCAGAGATTCTAGAGCGGTTCGCCATTTCTGTCTCCAGCTCATTTTACAGATGACGAAACTGAGGCAAACAGGGTGAAGTGACTTGCCCAGGGTCACACAGCTAGTAAGTATCTGAGGCCAGATTTGAACTCATGAAGATGAGTCTTTCTGACTCCAGACCCGGCACTCTTTGCACTATGGTGCCACCTAGCTTCTCAGCTTAGTACTGGAAGGGCCGAGCAAATCCTCTAAAAGGAACTTCTTAGAACCATATCAAGGACTTTATGGAAATACCAGTCAATAAGCTTTTGGTAAGTGCCTACTGTATGCTGGACAATGGAGATACAAAAGTAAAAGAGGTCCTGTCCTCAAAGAGCTCACATCCATTAGGAGAGGCATCAGGTAATGTAAAAATATCTACCGAGTATTTGTTTTATGCTCAAATTTGTGACTTCATCAGAGCCAGGAGCTCCTGGTGAGAAAACTCCCTCTGTCAATACAGATGGACTCCTACTCTGCAGCTTATGTCATCTCAGAGATTTGCATGGGAGCACTGAGGAAGTCATAGACTCACATAGCCAGGATGGGTCAGCAGAAAAATTTGAACCCAGGCCTTCCCAGCTGTCTATCCATTGTGCCAAGCTGCCTTTCTATAGATAGACATATTTATAGAACAAATACGAGGTGTAATAGTGATGGTGGGAGGTCATGAAAGGCTCCATGTAGGTGGTGCCTGAACTGAGTTTTGAAGGGAAACTGAGGAGAGAGGGATTTCCAGCCAGGGCAATGATACAATAACAGAGAGATGAAGTGTCCTCTATAAGCAATACAAGATTAGCTTGATTGGACTATTCATTAAGAACCAGAAAATGATGCTAGACATACAGTAGAAATTCTTCAGCCTGTGTGTCTGGAGCCTTCCCAGGTCCTTCTTTAGGTGAGAAAAAAGTAAGGGAAGGCTCCTTGGGACTGACTCACACAGTACCCGATGGCCATCTGAGAGCTCGCTGGGTTTGTTCCTTTCCCTCTTTTTATTTTTATTTATGTGAGGCAATTGGGGTTAAGTGACTTGCCCAGGGTCATACAGCTAGTAAGTATCCAGTGTCTGAGGTTGAATTTGAACTCAGGCCCTTCTGACTCCAAGGCCAGAGCTCTATCCATTGCACCACCTAGTTGCCTCTCCTTTCCCTCATTTTAAAAAAAAAGGATAAATGGGGGGCAGCTAGGCGGCACAATGGATAGAGCACTGGCCCTGGAGTCAGAAGGACCTGAGTTCAAATCCAGTCTCAGACCAGATACTTGACACTTACTAGCTGTGTGACCCTGGGCAAGTCACTTAACCCTAATTGCCTTGCAAAAAAAAAAATAGGGGAAATATAAAGGATAAATAAATAGGATCATTAAAAATAGTATCAAAATGCTATTGATGACTCATGGTGTGATAGAAAGCTCAATAACATGGGAGTCCCGAGATGGGAATTTACCTAGATTCTAGCAAGGCATCAGTCTGTCTGGATATTCTTATGGGAAACTAGACAATCAGAAGGATTCAGCGTTGGTTGAATGGCTTGGCTTCAAGTTCAGAATGAAGGGGTCGATGTCAACTTGGAAAGTCTAGAGTGGAGTGCCCCAGGGATCTGTGCATGGTCCTATGCTATATGAGATATTCCTCAGTGGACTGAAGAAAAGCATAGGCATTCTGCGTATCAAGGTTGGTTTACACACAGTCAGGATTACAAAAGCCTTGACAGTCCAGAACAATGAGATGAAATTTAATGTTCATGAATGTAAAAGTCTTACATTTAGTTTTTTTTTAAATCTCACTCATGAGGATTTTTAAAAAGGGGGAGATGTGGCAAGGCACCTGTCATCTGAAGAGGTTTGAGTGGACCGCAAGCTCCTTATGAGTCAATAGTGTGATATGTCAGCCAAGAAAATGAGTGTGATCTGAGGCTGCGTTAAGAAAGGCCTGGGGCCACAGCTTGGGAGGTGAATGCCCTGCTATTCTCTGCCTTAGTCAGGTTCTGGAGTATTAGATTCAGGTGGTGAAGTGCGTAGAGCACTGGGCAGGCAATTAGAAAGACCTGAATTCAAATCCCGCCTCAGACACTTACTGCATGTACCTAGGCAAGTCACTTCACCGCTGTCTGCCTTAGTTTCCTTGTCTGTAAAATGGGAATAATAATAGCACCTACCTCCCAGGGTTGGTCTGAGGATCAAAAGAGAATTGTAAAGTGTTTGTCACAGTGCGTGGTACATAGTAGGTACCTTATAAATGCTCATTTCCTTCCTTGCTTTGTTCTGGGCATCCCATTTTAAGAAGGACATCAATTCAAAAAACAAAACAAAGAAAAAAAAGGACATCAATAAAGCTGGCCAGCAATAAATCCATTCAGAGGAGGATATGTCGAAAGGTCTTGATATCAGGCCATATGAGACTCAGTCAAGGAACTTAGGAGAGAAGGCTTAGTGTGGACCTGCTGTCTTCAAGTACTGGAAGGACCGTCCCGGAGAAGGGAGTGTTCTGCTCACCCTCAGAAGGCAGAACTGGGAGAGATGGGTAAAAGTGACTGTCAGTCAGTAAACAAGCCTTTATTAAGCAGGTACTATGTGCCAGGCCCAGTGCTAAGCTCTAGGAATAGGAGAAAAAAGAAAGGCAGTGCCTGCCCTCAGGGAGCTTACTTTCTTACTTTCACACTTACAGGGAAACTGAGAGTGGGGGAGGGGGAGAGAAGAAGGTACCCCGAAGTCAGGAAGAGCGAAGCCTGGTTGGGAGGAGCTGGCCAATCAGAAGAAGGGATCCCAGGGAAAGGATACTGATGAGGTGTGAATTCCAGGGCCAGAAGTGCCTTGCGGGGATGAAAAGATGACTGAGACATTATGGAGACACCCAGAGGGGGAGTGCCTGCTAAGAAACTTGATTGAAGGGAACCCCAAGAGGCCTAGCCATGAAGGACCTCAGAGGCTCTTTGCCCGCCATTTTACAAATGAGGAAACTGAGGCCTGGAAAGGCTAAGTGCCTTGCCCAAGGCCGCACAGGTAGCTAAGGCCAAATGGAGGAATCAGAGAGAAACAGGCTTCCCTGGGAGAGTTCTTGGAATCTTGCTGTGCTCAGCACTGTGAGACAGGGCCCTGCTCCCTTTGACACTGATACGTCCCCACCAGAGAAACTCATGGACCCAAGCTTGTTTTCCCTCTTCTTGTTGTTTTTTTTAATCATCCAGAACAATTCTTTGCATTTTTGTGTAAAAAGGCCGAGGCTGCGGAGGACAGTGCATGGAAAGAACCCTGGGCAAGCCAGGAGACCCAAGTTTGATTCCAAGCCAGGATACTTTTTTTTTTTAAAGGCATTTTATAGAGGCCTTTTGTCATTAGGGCACATTCATTTCCCACCCCTCCTCCTCCAGACCGAACCCTCCCTTGTTACAAAGAAAAGCAATTAAGCAAAACCAGCTAATATAGAGACCGCATCCGAAGACACGGACAATGTTCTGCCCTGGTGCTCCCCCACCTTCTGCCATAAGAGATTAGGTCTCTTTTGTCGTCTCTTTTAGTCCATTAGTTTTAATCTGCATTAGTTTTTCTGTTGCTTGGCAATCAACTTCCTTTTAGTGATCTGTTCAGGTACTGGTGCTAACTACTTGTGTGATTGCATAATTCATTTCCCATCTCTGAGCCTCAGTTTCCCCATTTGGAAAACAGGGAGAATATTATTTGTACCACATACCTCACTGGATGGTTATGAGGGGAAAGCTTTGCAAAGAAGCTTTGTAACACAGCATGAATGTTGGTTACTCATGGATTCATTGTGTGCCATGCTAGCTTTTAGTCAGAAGACCTGGGTTCAAATCCTTTCTCTGCCATTCTCTTCCTATGTGGCCTTGGGTGAGTCTCTAAACCCCTCTGTGTCTCAGTTTCCTTATCTGTAAAGGGAGTGGTTGGACTAGTTGACTGAGGTCCCTTTGAGCTCTACATCTGTGATGTCCCCCAGAACCAAGAAGGTAGGAAGCTTTAAAGTCCTTTTCAGATAGAATCAAGACAAAATCGACAAGTATTTATTAAGCACCTACTATGTGCCAGGCACACAGTGTGTTAAGCACTAGATAAGCAAAGGTCCCTAGGTTATACAACAGGAGGAACTGAGGCAGAAATAAGAATCTAGGATTCTGAGTCTTGATTCTTTTTATTTATATGTTTATTCATTTTTGGAAGCATTTATTATATCTCCTCCAATGGAGCAGTTATTTTTTTAAAAAACCCTCATAACAAATACACAGAATCCAGCAAAACAAATTCTCACACTGGCCATGTCCAGAAATGGGCTGTCTCATTTTGCCTTTTAAATCCATCACTTCTTCAGCAGGACATGGCATCAGAATTTATCATCACAATGACCAGAGTTCTGAAGTCTTTCACAGTTTTTTTTTTTCAGCTATTTTATCTCTGAGATTCTGAGGTTCATTTAGGTTCATCATAGATGCAAACCTGTGGATGCAAAAGCATTCCTCCTGGCATTCAAAGCCCATCACAGTCTGATACCACTTGTCTTTTCCAGCCTTCACTTACATTATTCCATTCTATATACAGTAAGTCATAGCCATATTGGATTGTTGTCTGCCCCAGTACTTTTCTACCTCCATACCTTTGTTCATGCTGTTACCCCCACCTAGAATGCCATCCCTTTCCCTTTTTGCTTTTTTGGATTCTTTTTGGATCTTTAAAGCCCAGCTGAGTTATGGTGTATAGAAGAAACATGGCATCTGGAGTCAGAGGACATGGGTTTGAATCTTACCTCTCATACTGTTCTGCCCTTTCATTTCTGTGGGCTTCAGTTTCCTCCTAAAAAATAAATTGAATTTTAAAATCATGCATTCAGCTAAAGGATAGCTAAGTTCCCCTCCCCTACAGCAACAAATCCATGATCCTATGAAATGGCACAGCCTCCAGAAAGCCTTCCCTGATTCTTACAATCAGTGACAATCCGCTGACTTCCCTCACATAGCACTTTACACGTCTTAGATGTACATTGTAGTTACCACCTTCATTGATGACTTGTCCATATCACAGAGAGCCGCTAGGCGTCTCAGTGGATAGAGCACCAGTCCTCAAGTCAGGAAGATCTGAGTTCAAATCTGGCCTCAGACATTTATTAGCTGTGTGACCCTGGGAAAGTCACTTAACCCTGTTTGCCTCAGTTTCCTCATCTGTAAAATGAGGCAAATGGCATTCCACTCCAGTATCTTTGACAGCAAAACCTAGATGGGGTCATGAAACTTAATAACCACCACCACCACCACCATATCACAGAATCTCTAATATAGAAGAGACTTGGAGGGGGAGAGAGGGGATCATCTCATCTACCCCAGGCCCTGAGAAAGGATTCCCCTTCAACATATCTAATGAGTGGACAATTCAGCCTTTACTGGAAGGGAGCAGTGAAGGGCAGCCCACTTGTCTTATGGACAGCTTTCATCCCCTGAAGTCAAACCAGAATTTACCACTCTATACCCCCTACCCATTGCTCCTTGTTTCTGTCTTGAGGGGTCCAAGCAGATAAATCCTAAACCCGCTTCTGTAGAAGTTTCTCAAATACTATTATCTTTACCTCCCAAAGTTTTCAAAATTGTAGAAGGAGGGATATGATCACAGCTTACTGTCTACTAGACTGTAAGCTCCATGAGGGCAGGAACTATGTCTGACTTATATTTTATATCTTTTGATAAAATGGAAGCTCAGTAAGGTATACCTTTGTATCCCTGGAACATTGCAGGTTAATAAGCGTCTGTTGATTGATGGATTGCTCTCTTCCAGTGCTCAGCACACAGTAGGCACTCAATGAGTGTTGAATTTCAAATCTCCATGGTGCCAGGCCTAGAGCCTACCATGTAAGAAACACTGGGTAAATACTGTTGATAAACTGAATTTGTTTTCAGTGTTTTCAGTGGGTGTTCATGAGAAACCAAAGAGATAGGTGTTGCAGCTTTTGAACCTGTTTTCTCTTCTTTGTAGACAAGACCAAGATGACCACAGTGGCCCCTTTGGGAGGTGCCACCTTCCCAGGAAATGAGACCGCGATGTCCACCGAAGACTTCCTCTATAAGAGTAAGAGCGACTGAGTGAGGTGCCGGGGGCCGGGCCAGGGAACAGCAGCTAGAATGGAGGCTGACTCAGATGTGTTGGGGGCTCTCTAGAGAGGTGGCGATGGGCTGGCCGAGAGGCAAGGCACTCCAAGCATGTATTTGTTCATTTATTCATTCTTTGAGTAAACATTTATTGAGCACCTACAGTATATAGAGCCAGGTACTCAGTACTAGAGGAGATTTCAAGTTTATGTCATGGAGCTTACAATCTGGTAGCAGGATAAGATACTCACCTATGGCTGCATTACCTCACATTATATGCTAAGGATTCAGGCATGTGCAGGAGCTAGCTTAGGAGAGACAATTGGTCAAATGCTACAAATCAGGCAGACTTGATTTGTTGTGTGGTTGACTGTTTACCATAGGTTCCCAAACTTATTTGGCCTCCCCCACCCCTTTCAAAAGAAAAAAATTCCTCCACTCCCCCTGGAAATCTTACAAACTAGGAAAGAAGTCTCAGATTAAGTGTATGATTGCACCTGAGGCTACTACTGGACCCCTGGATCATTCCAGCACCCCCAGGGGGCGGTATCGCCCACTTTGGAAACCTCTAGACTCTAAACTTAGAAAAGTGGGGGACATCTAGGTGGCACGGTAGATAGAGCACCAGCCCTGGAGGCAGGAGAACCAGAGTTCGAATCCAGCTTCAGACACTTACTAGCTATGTGACCCTGGGCAATTCATTTCACCTCGGTTGCCTCAAAAAGAAAAGAAAGTGATGGGAAAGTATTAATAATATAAACTTAGAAGCGTATGTGGCATTTTGGGGAGAACCAGTTGTTAAACATTTACTTATACACCACTGTAAGTGTATAAAGAGAGACAGCTTTGGAGTCAGGAAGACCTGAGTTCAAATGTGATGTGTATTAGCTGTTTGACCCCTGTCAATCAATAAGCATTTATTAAGTACGTACTATGTGCCAGGCAATGTGCTAAACAATTGACAGTCCCCTGGGCCACTCTAAGACTAAAAATTGTCGATGAATCCCTGATCTATGTCAATGGAGGGAGTTTCCAAATTAGAAGCTTCCCACAGGGATGAAATCACAGGTGTAGTCCCAAAAAAAGCTAACAGAAGAGGTGAAAAATCAAGTGTCATGTAAGTGAGGTCATACTGACAGAAAAGATCAGGGAAGGCTTCATGGAGGAGGTAGCATTTGAGCTGGACCTTAAAGGATGAGACAGCCGCATTCTAGGCAAAGGGAAAAGCATGAACATTTGAGCACAGAAGTGGGAAAGTTCAGAGCAGAGAGCAGTCCAGTTTGGCTGCTGATGATAATAATAATCATAATAATGAATAATTACTATACATAATATACATAAAGTATACATTATTATGTATAATATAATATATAATAGAGAATAATAATAATAGTTAACAATCTATCTTCTATAAACATTTACTAAGCGCTTACGATGTGCCAGGTATTGTGCTAAGCACTTTACAAATATCTTGTTTGATCTTCACAACATCCCTGGGAGGTCAGTGCTGTTATTATCCCCATTTTACAGATGTGAAAACCGAGGCAAGCAGAGGTCAAGTGACTTGCCCAGGAATACAGAGCTAGCAAGGTCTGAGGCTGGATTTGAACTTGTGTCTTCCTGTCTCTAGGTCTAGTACTCTGTCCTACCAACTGCCTGGCTGCCCCCACTAACTCACAAGAGTGACTTGAGAGATTTTGTCAAATGCTTCACAGAAATCTAGTTATACTATAGATAGAGTATCTCCTGGTGGTCTAGTGATCCTGTTAATGTAAGAAATGATTCGAAGATGGTGCGACCTATTCTCCATCAAGCCACTTTGTCTTCTCAGAGTGCTCAAAAACCCTCCTGTTGGTAAAGTGTCCTAGAATTTTGCCAAGAACTAGAGGCCAAGCTTTACTGGCCTAAAGGTTGTACTCTCCCTACTTTTTTGTTTTGTTCTGTTTAATTTGGGGACCATGTTTGCTGCCATCAGGCCGGTAGTTCCTTTCCCATTCCCCAGGCTCCTTCAGAAATCACCAGCCAATCACGAGCGATCCCATCTGCTAAATATTTAACTATCTTAGTAGCTAGTACACATTGGCCCAGTGAACGTGGACTCATGGAGGGTGATTGGATGGCCTCTTCCTGTGCCCTCACTCATTCCCTGGATACCATTTTTGTTCTGTCCATCCAGTTGGTCCAATTCTAAACTGTGTTTTCCCTGATAGAGAAACCTGTGGGAAAAGAAGAGAAGGGCAGTTCTACCTTCTCTCCCTTGTCCTTTATCCCATACACTTCCAAGCAGTGATTTTATCACATTATCTGACCCTCCTTCCCCCCACCCAACATATCTATTAACAACAACAACCACTACTCCTTTGGGCTGCCCTTTGCAGTCACCACCAGCCTCAGCTCCTTCTGGAATATTGCCTTCCTGAGCCTGATACTCTTAGGAATTCATCCTCACTTGGTTGTCCTGGCCTCCATATTATATATGCATCTTTATAACCAGATGTATATGTTTGACCAAAAAGATGACTTTCTTTCCTTGAGGGTCTATAGTGGCCCAGAGAAAACAGATGTCACGAATGACCATCTTCAAACTTTTTGAAGGGGTTGTAAATACAGATTTATAGAAATACCTGGAATTTTACCCCATAACCACTTTTGGACGTTCCTTACCCAAGCTCAGGAGGACCTTAGGAAGAGGAAGTTAGTTCTGTTGTGGAATCAGTAGCCAGTGACTTCAGGAAGGTATATTTCACTTCTCAGGTAGGGGCCAAGCTTCATTTATCTTCCAGTCTTCTCCAGCAACTGAGTATGAGGATTTATAATTAGTAGCTAATGAATGAAAAAAAGAATGAATAAATGGGAACATTTTCATATTCAGGGAACAGCATGAATAAGACTTGGAGGTGGGGAAATTTAAAATGTATTTCAGGGGCAGAGATCAGTCCAGTTTGGCCAGAGCTTTGGCCATGTGGGGACAAGGCTAGAAACAGCGGAAGAACTCTGTGTTAGAGGCAGCAGAGTACAGGGCAGAGAGCCCTGGATGGGACACCAGGAGGCTTGGGTTCTAGTTCTGGTACTGCCGATCACTGGCTTCTCATTGCCTTCTCTCTCCGCCATGAGGCAGGTTCAGGAGCCATTGTAGCGGCCATCGTGGTTGGTGTCATTATCATCTTCACCGCGGTGCTCATCTTGCTAAAAATGTACAACAGGTACTGATGGGGACATCACAGAATGGAAGGGATCTCAGAGACCATCTAATTTGCCCTATACCTGGAAAGACTAATCCCTTGTACAGTAACCCCAACAAGCGGTCATTCAGTGTTTGTTTGGAGAGATCTATGAAGGAAAAGTTACTACCTCCTAAGGCTGGGGGTTGGGGTGGGGGCTGGCAGGATGGAGGAGTGGGATGGGGTGGGGTGGGGTGGGAATGAAGATATCTGAAACGGGAGTGAGAAAAGATGGTTTTGAAGTCTGAAAGTCAGGAACAGGAGGGGAATGAAGGTTGGCTTGGCCCTTCTATAAATGGAGGCCCCAGGTAGAAGTCTTCAGTGGGGAAGAGGGTGGGCCTTCAGTTAAGAAAATTGCGAGAGTGGTTGCGTGTTCTAGGGTGAGGAGGCTCTAGGTCCTGGGGGAAATTCCAGGATGAGATAGAAGCAGAGGCGTGGTTTTGAAGTCAAGATCACAGCTGAGAGGGAAATGAAAGCTGGCTTTAACCCCTCTACAAAATACAGGTCCCAAGAGGAACTCATCAATGGGAAAGACTGAAAATGTTATCACTCCTCTAAATTTTGATGCTCTGGGACAAAGCACCAGTCACCATGTCCTAGTTTCTGCCCTCACTATTGTAGCTTAAGTAGGACTCATGCCCATCCCTTTCTATGCTTCTTAGAATTTGTCTATTTTCCTGCCAGAGGGGCTAATGAATGAAAAAGTCTCAGAACCAGGGCAACTAGCAGAGGGATACATAGATAGTTTTGTTCTTTGGGTAATAATTTTTGTTTTTATAGGCATACAATTTATGAAGCACCTCCTGTGGCAGAGACCTGCAGCGAGGTGGCACAGTAGATAGAGTGCTGGACCTGGAGTCAGGAAGACTCATCTTCCTGAGTTCACATCTAGCCTCAGACGCCAGCTGTGTGACCCTGGACAAGCCATTTAACTCTGCCTGCCTCAGTTTCCTCATCTGCAAAATGGGGATAACAGTAGCATCTACCTTGAAGGGTTGTTGTGAGGACCAAATGAGAAAATAATATTTGTAAAGCACTTAGCACAGTGCCTGGCACATAGTAAACACTATATAAATATTCGTTCTCCTTTTTCTTCCTCCTCTTTCTCCCTTCTCCCTCTTCCTTCTTACTCTTACTCTTCCTCTTCCTCCTCATTTTGTTTTATCCGTTTAAAAACCTTCTTATGAGCAGGGACCCCTACGCTTCACCAGGCTTCTGCCAGTTAACACCTAGACTAGATGAACTATGTTTCTTTCTAGTATTTACATTCATAGGATCATGGGATAATAATAAATAGTTAATATTGATATTTAGTTTAGCACTTCAGGGACTGAGAACTGGAAGTAACCTTAGAGATCATCACATCCCCCCCATTTCACAGATGAGGAAACTGAGGTTTAAGATGGCAAAGAGACTTTCTCAAGACTATTCGGGGTATAAGTAACCAAACTAAGATGTAAATCCCATCCTGCTAACTCTCTGAGACTGTCGTGTAACTGGTGCAGGGCAACAATTAATAATTTTTTTTACAAGTTTTTAATCATCGCCTGCATTTTACACCCTCCTGGCCTCAGCTGTAGTCTCTGTTGTGAATCCTGATACCATACAACAGAAACCATTCACATGTTGTTTGTTACAGAAAAATGAGAATGAGACGGGAATTAGAACCCAAGAGCCCCAAGCCCACCTCCCCGGCATCTTCTGCAGGCCAGCCCAGCAACAACAGCGTCAGCCAGCCCACCACCGTTACATTCATTCCTGTCGACATCCATATGGAGAACCGATGACTAGAGAAGGTCCCTCCGGGGTCCTCAGCCAGATCTCCTGCTCCATTCGGATGGGCCCTCACTGAGAAAAAGGAAAATGAAGAGCCAGATTCCTGGCAGAGTCTAAGTCAAGCTGATGATGGCATTTCTGTATGGGATTGGAGCTGGGGACGAGCCCTAACAATCTCTTTTTCCCTCTAGTTAAAAAACCTAAGTAACTCTCTTGGGTCCCCTAACATTGACACAGTGGCAAACTATGTCAGATATGTATTAACATTTATGTTCTCCTTTCTCCCTGATCCCTGTAGCTGCTTCAAAGGGATAATGAATCCTAGAGAAGGGACTTTAGGATATACAGTGATAGAATGTAGAATATCTGATCCATCTTCTTGGATGATAGATCATCAGAACTGAAAAAAGCATTTGAACATAGAATATCCAATCTGGAAGAGTTCTTGGAACAGAGAATGGCAGAATTGGGCAGGGAGGGGACCTTAGAAAACAATCTCAGAGCTGGAAGAGAACTTAAAATGGAGAATTTTAGGACAATAACAGACCTGAATGGAACCTGGGAGACCCGCGAGCCCAACCCTCTCATTTTATAGTGGAGGGCTGTGGGATCATAGACCCATAGAGCCGGGAAGGACCTCAGTAGGCCTTCTACTCTATCCATCTCTTTTTACAGATGAGGAAACTGAGATGGAAGGAGGTTAAATGACTTGTCTCACAGGAAAATGAGGTGTAGAGAAGGCCCCGTGATGAGTTTGAGTTTCTGGCTGAACAGGGACAAGAACAGTTAAATTATTTCCAATGCTGGATGGCGGATGATGAGAGCCCCCAAAAGGGCATCTGTCCAAGTGCTTCATCCAGGCATGTCTAGTCTGCAAATTAAACCATTTTTTCCTGGGAACTCTATGGGCCTGGGTTAATTAAATAATAAAGTATACTGCCTCCTCCCCAGGTAAATTCCGTCAGTGGACGGAAGACAGCAAACCTAAATGTGAGACACCCCCAACTCCAGATCTGGAGATGGAATCAACAAGGGAGATGAGTTGATAAAATAGCTGAGGAGCTGAGCTCAGGACCAGAATCCCAACATCTGTGTCTGCCAGAGTATGTGTCTTCTTTAGACAGAGCTAGAGAACTGAAACACTCCCCATTCTTCCTTGTTCTAGCTGCCCCACGCATTATCACATCTCCCCCTACCCCACTTCATTCTGACCTATGATACTAGCTCACTCTTCTCTGTGAAGATAAGCAGTAGGAGCTTTACTGTCTCCATTTTACAGGTACAGAAACTGAGGCTCAAAGAAGGGCTAAGGCTATACATTTAGTAAATGCTTGACCTGAGATTCCAGCTTTGGTTGCCTGATTCTGGGGTCAAGGCTCTCCCACTCTACCATGTGGCCTTCCCAGGATTGAGCTGATCTTTCACTGATTTTATGTCTTGGTGGGGAGGGGAGGGCTGGGCTGCTCCCTGATGCACTATATGATAAGCACCTTAATCTCATCTATAATATCTCCAAGCCCTACTTTGGCTCTTCCTGGAGGTGGTTCCTAGTAACAACAAATCCCAAGCCTGGCTTTCAAACCCTTTACAGGAACACTGGATTTGGGATCCACAAGTCTGGGGAACCATCCCAGCCCTATCTGTAGGACCTTAGACAAGTCATTTCCATTCTCTGAGGCTTAATTTCCTTATATGTAATGTGAGGTGGTTGGACTGGATGGTTCTATGAGCAGCGTCTTGTCCCTGAAGCCCATAACCCTCTGTCTACTAAATACAAGATGGCGACCTCTTGTCTGTTATTGCCTAGTAGGAGAGCTCACTCTTCTTGCGAGCTAAGAGAAGCCATGAGACAGGGATTGTGATCATGCCTGGTGCTCAGATGTGTTAGAAACATACTAGCTTGGTCTCCATAAAAGGACTATGTGCCCTATAGCCCAACTTGTCTTGAGCTGGAGCCTCTGGAGGGATTGTGCCAAAAAGAGAATGTGATGGTTATATGGAAAGAGGAAGACCTAATTCAAAGTCAAGCCTCAGGCCATTTACTAGCTTTTTAACCCTACCCAAGAGATTTCATTTGTCTAAGCCTCAGTTCCTTCACCTATAAAGTGGGAATCATAATAGCAACCTCCTTCACTGGGTTGTATAAGGTTCAAATGAGAGAACCCCGGTAAAGACCTGTGCAAACCTTGAATTTCTTTAGAGACGGGAGCTGCTCTTACAAGGGGGAAGGTATGATGGTTTTATGCCAACGACGCTTGATGGTTCGATCAGCCAGCGGCAGCCTCAGGATGTTTCCTCCTTTCCACAAATTTCTTACAAGAACAAAATCCCAGGCAGAAGCCAAAAACGCAGAATGTATGATGCTGGCTCCGAAGTGCCAACCTCTCAAGGAAGCTGGGTAGTGTTTGCCTCGACACCTCACAAAGGAGAGGAGTGAAGGCTTCCAGCTGGGCCTTGGGCATCCCATCCCACCCACTCCCCTCAGCCACTTCTCCAAAGTTGTTATGGAACCTGCCAGGTGTTAGCTCTTGAGATCAACCCTAGGCCAGGGGTAGGGAACCTGCTCTAGGCACCCTCTTCTGTCCATTACAAATGCAAACACTCATTGTTCTCTGGTCCCCTTGGTTCTGATCTTGGTGTTCTGGGTTGGTGACTGAACTTGGAGTCATGAAGATCCTTGCTCGGATACTTACTAGTTGTGTGACTGTGGACCTAAGCACCTCGAGCCTCAGTTTCCTTATCTGTAAGATGGAGAGATATCACCTATCATACCTGCCTCAGAGGATTGTTGATGGGATCAAATGAGATTGTTCACGTAACATGCTTCGCAAACCTCTAAATTCTCTGCAAAATTTGGTTCTTAGTATTTTCAAAAAAATGGAGTGGGAATAATTCTAATGTGGAAGCCTATTTAGTCCCCCTCCCACCTCACCTTGTTCTAGGTTAGGAAGACAGCATAGTGTAGGGGACAGTGCATCAGGTATGGATTCAGGAAGACTCGATTCAAATCCTGCATCAGACACTAGCTGTATTACCCTGGGCAAGTCACTTTACCTCCAAGTTCTGTAGGCAACTCTCAAAGACCACAAGATGCAGAGAAGATGACATCTTGCATTGGTAGAGGAATTTCCTCCTCTGGGAGTTTACTTTGTCATTGAAGTCATAGGTCCTATCTATCCCTGTCCTTTTATTGGTTGAAAGAATGGGATAGAGGGCACAAGAGAAATCAGATGGTGGTGGTGATGATGATGATGATGATGATGATGATGATGATGGGGAAGGCTTGGGTAGTGCTTCCTGGTTCCATTGTCCTCATCACCTTTGATCTCCATTAAGCTCTTGTGAGATAGGAAGGGCAAGTAGTAGTGTCCCTATTTTACAGAGCAGGCAACTGAGGCACAGAAAAGCCACTTGTTCAGATGTACGCAGTTAAGTGGCAAAACTGGGACACAATCTCAAGTCCTCTGGCTCTTGAATCCATTGATCTCCCCATTGAGCTTTACTGCCTCTGTGTTGGGGGGAGAGGCAGGATTTTTACCAATTTGTTTTAGGTTTTATGTTTAATAAATAAACAACCCAACCCAATCCCCAATTTATTTTTAGTTGAAAATTGTAGGGCTTAGTCTGGGAGGGAGATGAGTTCTTGACTTTTCAAATGCCCTTTCCAAATATACCCCAAATTGGCATTTTTGTCCTGTTATAAAAAACTCAGTGCCACAGTTCTTTGTGGGTGTGCAGCAACCCTATAACCATGTCCCCAGGATATTTGAGAGGCCCACTCGGTGACATTGAACAGTGGGATCATTGTCACCCTTTCTCTGGGCTCTTTTGTGATGGGCATCCCCCTCAGCAAGGGAGGGAGTAGAAAGCCTTGACTCAGCAGTCCTGGGGCCAGCCCAAGGCGTCTGGCCTGGGGAAAAGTGGCTTCAAACAACACTGACCCTGGGCTGGCCCAGGAGTCAGGAGACCCGGCCTCTGCCGGCCAGGCCCCAGCTTCACTGTGGATGCAGCATAGCAGTCCTGGAAGAGGGCTTAGGGACCATCTAGTCCACTCTTTACCTGAACCCAGACTTTTTCTCTAACATCCCTAATACAAGTTTATCCTGCCTCTGCTTAAAGCCCTCCAGGAATGGGGAGGCTGCCACCACCTCCCTCAGCAGCCTGTTTTCACTTGGGGACAGGTGGAAATTTCTTAGAAAGTTTTTCTTATATCGGATTGCAATCTGCCTTTCTGCAGTTTCCACCCATTTCTTCAACCAATGACTGAAGCCAAAAAGAGCCAATCTAAGGATGGCATGGTAAAAAAAAAAACAAAAAACAAAAAAAACACCTGACAGTGAGTCAGAAGACTTATGTCTGGCCTTTCCTACTTACTATCTCCTCTCTGGGCCTCAGTTGTTTCATCTGTAAAATGAGGAGGTTGGACTAATCAGGGCTTCTTAAACTTTTTCCACTTGTGACCCCTTCATCACTTCTTAAATTGTGTTTAATAAGTTTAAGAAAGCGCAGTGAATAGAGCTCCGGCCTTGAAGTCAGGAGGACCTGAGTTCAAATCTGGCCTCAGACACATGATACTTACTAACTGTGTGACCCTGGGCAAGTCACTTAACCCCAATTGCCTTGCCAAAAAAAAAAAAAAGCAAATACCCCCCCCCCAAAAAAAAACCAGAAAGAAGTTTAAGAAGCACTGAACTAGATGACCTTTAAGGGCCTTTCCAGGTCAGATCTCAGTTCTCTGATTCTGCAGGACAGTCTTTCTTCCAGTAATTGAAGATAGCCTTCATGTACGTCCCTTCCCCCAGTCTTCTATTCTTCAGGCTAGTGTGACCCCATCCCTTCTGTCCTCACATGGCTTGACCTCCAGGCCTCTCACTATAATAACAGATTTCCTTTGTAGAGCATCTTGAGGTTTTCAAAGCATTTTACATACCTTATCCCCATTTTATAGATGAAGAAAGTGAAGCTCAGAGGGGGTGTGATGGCCTGTGGTCACATAGTTAGAAGCAAAAACCTAGGAATTGGCTAAATCCAAGTATGAGACTCTTTCCGGTACACCACCATGATCTTTTTTTTCTTCTAGACTTTGTCTCTCTGGTCCTCACTTTCCCCACAAAATGAGGCGGTTGAGCTAAGGTCCCTTCTCGTTCCAAAGTTCTATACCTGAAATCCTGCTATCATCCAGATCCAGTCAGAATCATCTAAGCCATTTTCATTTTGCCTAGACTCTTAAAGTTGTTCTTTGTGTGATACTGATATATTTTAATTTACCCTGGGGGAATTTAATAACCAACCTCTCAATTTTTAACAACCTATACTCTTTTTCTTTCACCCTCCCCACAAGTAATCTGGTCAAGTGAAGACAGCAGCCTTCATATAATCCTTTCCTTGGAGTGGTGGATATTTGCAAAGCTAGTTTAGTGGTGGCTTGGGATCAGCTAAGACCACCAGCTGGACATTGTTGAGGTATAGAGCTTGATGCCCACCCTGGTGGAACGTCGTGCCAGTTGTATCCCCTCCCCATGACAGGATGTTTCCTATAGGGAGGATGGAAGGATCTTGGCTACTAGGAAAGCTGCACTTCTAAGGTCAATCCCTCCCATTGTCAATCCCATTGACTTACAATTCGAGTCCCTTGCCCTGTTCCTACTTTTACCCCTGCTGTAAGGATCTTAAAGTCTGAAGAATATGGAAAGTTTCTCTGTCTCTCACTGTCTCTCTGTGTCTGTGTGTCTCTGTTTCTCTCTCTGTCCCTCTCTGTCTGTCTTTCTCTGTCTCTCTGTCTCTGTGTCTCACTCTCTGTCTCTCTCTCTCTGTCTCTCTGTCTATCTCTTTCTCTCTCTCTCTGTCTTTCTCTTTCTCTCCCAGCAGATGAACCCTTGAGTAAAGGGATTAACTGAGGCAGCTACCAGCCTCTATGTGATAGAGTGTGGGGGGGGGGAGGGGGAATACCTCTTCTGTTTATTTTGAAGCTAACAACAGGGTAAGGGACACCTAACTTTATTTAATTTTTTCTAATAAATTTTCATTGGTATCTTTTGTTTTTACATCACATATGTTTCCCAGTATATCCCTCCCAGACAACTTTCCTTTATTACCAAGAATAAAAAAGGGAAAAATGGTTCATCAAAACCAAACAACCTATCAAAAAAAAAAAAAGTCTGAGGTTGTATACAGTGTTCCACATCTATAGCCCCCCACCTCTGCAAAGAAATAGGAGAAGTTACCTTCTCACGGGACATCCGGTTTTCATCTTTGTCTGGGGCACCCAAAGGGATCAACTTTGATACTTCCCTGTGAGTACTGCCTGCATTAGTGCAGATCACTGATTTACATCCTCCTCATCTGTGAATTTTTCCCACGTCCTCTGATAAATGCCACGTGGAAGACCCACTCAGCACATTGAAGACCTCTGGATTTTGCCGTGACTCTTGCGTATCAGTGCAGCAGTCAGGTGGTCCAACAGTTACTCCTCTCCAATCCAGTCCAATTCCATAAGCATTCAGTAAGTCCAGCCTATGTTAGGTAGCGAAGATACAAAGACAAAATGGAAATCACTGTCTGCCCTGGAGAAGCATCTGCGTCTGATGGGGAGCTACAATATGTGAATAACTTAATAAATACCTGATCATTTGAAGTGGGGGACAGGGGCCCCAAACTACTAGGGCAATCAGGAAAGACTTCCTAGGGGAGGTTGCAGATGACTTGAGTCTTGCCAAAATCTAGGGAAAAGAGAGTGTATTCCTGGCACAGAGACAGCTATGCAAAGGTGGGAGATGAATGAATAAAGCATTTATTAAGCACTAACAGGCAAAGCACTGAGGACAAACAGGAAAGTCACACAGTCCCTATTGTCAAGCAGCTTAAGCTCTAATGGAGAAAATAACAGATATGGAAGGTTTCAGCTGCAAGTCGGATGGAAATATCCCATAGTCCTTAGGGTATAGCAGCAAAGCAGATGGTAATGTTTCTTTTTTTAAAAAAAAATATATATATATTTTTGTTTATTTTGTTATTTCTTAATTATATGTAAAAATTTTTAACATTCATTTTTTAAAATTTTGAGTTCCCAATTTTCTCCATCCCTCCAACCTCTCCCCCACTCCTAGAGAAGGCAAGCAATATGATATTCATTATATATGTGAAGTCATGCAAACATTTCCATGTTAGCCATGTTGCAAAAGAAAACAAACACAAGAAAGTTAAAAAAAAAAAAAGTATGTTTCAATTTGCACTCAGAGTTCATTAGTTTTTTTTCTCTGGAGGCGGAGAGCATTTTTCATCATGGGTCCTTTGGAATTACCTTGAATCATTGCATTGATCAGAGTAGCTAAGTCTTCCACTGTAGATTGTTCTTACTATGTACAATGTTCTGGTTCAGCTCATCTCGCTTTTCATGTGTCTTCCCAGGTTTCTCTGGACCCATCCCCCTCATCATTTCTTATAGCACAATAGTATTCCATCACAATCATATGCCACAACTTGTTCAACCATTCCCCATTTGACGGGCATCCCCTCAATTTCCAATTCTTTGCCCCACAAAAAGGGCTGCTATAAATATTTTTGTGCAGATAGGTTCTTTTCCATTTTCTTGGATCTCAGGATGGTAATGCCTCTTCTTTAAAGTCTTTTCCACTGATTAAAATCTCATTTCTGATGTTGAATCATTTGAGAGAGTCAAGAACTTGGTGGCAAGAACCTTCTTTTCTGATTCTTCAGTAGCTGTGGGTGAAGCGCCCAGGCTGCATCTGCCCAAGGGGCTGAGCTGGGAGGATTTCTATTACCAATGCTTTCAGGTTCACAGTCCTGAGCTATCTCCATCAGCATCTGAGGGCAGGTGGTTGTCAAGGAAAGTGTGGTGGTTTGATTTCCCTGCCACATGCTGCCTCCTGTCTCTTCCTCAGGGTACCTTCAGCTTGCCCACCCTGTGGGTGGCAGTTGATGGGGCTAGCCTGTCCCTTGGCATGCCTAGTTTGACTAAAAGTCTTTCTCACTATGTGTTCAGCCCCTCCCTTTCTGGTCATCCACATCCTTAATACTGCCTTAGGGGCCATTTCTCATGTGCCAGATGGCATTGGTAACATACTTCAGCCTGCTTATACCTACTCATGGCTCTCCAGGGTCTCCATTATAAGTAACAACTCACTGGGGAAAACTTGGTGAAGAAAAAAAGGGAAGAGAACTTTTTTTTTTAACTTAAGAGTTTCCTGTTTTCTGTTATTAGTAAATATTGGAGGGGGGTGTGATTTTAAAGCTACAGGTGGCCTGTTATTGACATCAAAACTGAAATTTGAAAAAAAAAACTTGAAATTTGATATGGGTCCCCCTTAAGCTAGAAAGGAGGCTCACAATACCTTCCTCATCCTGGGACCAGGATGAGCCCTCTCCTTCTTCCCTGGTAGATTAGGGTGATTGCCTCGTATTTGGGGGTTTCTGGCTTGACAGGAGCATACTGAGACACAGAGAACCAACGCAGTGAACCAAGGAAGCCGTGGTTGAAAGACAAGGAGGTGGCTCCCCAGCTGCTGGGGAAAAAACTCAAGGCTCATATAGAAAGCCCACAGACCCCCAAAACAAGCAGTATGGAGAGGCGGCACAATCAGAGTGCCAAGCTCCAAGTCAGGGAAATCTGAGTCTGAATCTTGTCCCAGATATTCATTAGCATTATGAACTTGGATGTCATTTACCAGCTGCTTGCCTCAGTTTCCCCACCTGTAACATGAGGATAGTGATATAAACTACCTATAGAAATATTTTTTTTTTAGAAATAGAAGTCAGTAAATTAAGCTCTGGATCTAGAATCAGAAGGGCTGGATTTAAATCCTTGCTCTGCTTTTTAACTGTCTACACAGCCTTAAACAAATCCCTTCCCCTCTGTGAACCTCAGTTTCTTCATCAAGACTATAAACTGCAGAGAAGGTACCTAGAGGCAGTTGTTTCACTAGGGAGTTGTATGTGGCATGGAAATCACGGGTTCCTGGTCAGTAATATAGACAATCCCTAAGCTCCCATTCCATAATTCATGGTCTTGTTAAGCAGCTATTATGTATTATGTATAGTGGTTTAAAAACTGACCTGGGTTCAGGTTCTATTTCTAAAGCATCCTGACTGTGTGTCTCTGGGCAAATCACTTAATTTGCCAGTGCCCCAGGCTCCACTCTAAAACTCTTGAGTTATCGACAATGGCCCAAGTTACTATGTGCCAGGCATACAGTGAGAGCTTAAGAGATGTTTCCCTAGCTAGCTTTGGAGCTGCAGGCTAGGATTTCCCCAGTGAGATCACAGGTCCAGAGCTGAATGTGAGCAGTAAGTACTCCGTGTGAGAAGCTGCCCCAAGAATGGATAGAGGATGAGCCTTGGGGCCTAGAAGCACTGCAGCTGATCCTTACTCAGTGCCTTGGGGAAGACAGGAAGCCTTTAACTTCTTACTGCCTCTAGCAGTTCTTTCGTTAACACTAAAAACTGCTGGTGAGTTTCTGGAAGAGCAGCTCAAGCCAATGCACAAACTTATTAACCTTCTAGGTGCCAAGCAGTCAGTACGAGAAGGATTAGGGATACAAAGACAAA